TTGCGCACAGGGCGACGGCGCTGGACCGCTACCAGCTCCAGAAGGCGGGCTTCACGCACGTGCTGAATGCGGCCCACGGCCGCTGGAACGTGGACACTGGCCCCGACTACTACCGCGACATGGCCATCGAGTACCATGGCGTTGAGGCCGACGACCTGCCCACCTTCGACCTCAGTGTCTACTTCTACCCGGCAGCCACCTTCATCGAAGATGCACTCAGCGACGACCACAGTAAGAGACCCCCAGGCCGCCCGCGGCCCCGCCCCTCAATGCCGCCCGCGGCCCCGCCCCTCAATGCCGCCCGCGGCCTCGCCCCCATGCCGCGTCCCTTGGCCCCACCCTCGCGGCCCAGACCGAGTGTGGGATTAGCGCACCGTCTAAGTTTTCGTACCTCTCAGAGTCAGCCTGCCGGAATTGTATGTGGTTGAGGGGTATGTCTCAGCCCTTGGAGCACGTCAGAGTTTGAGGACTTGCCCCGCCTGGTGGGCTGCCCGTGGGGTTCAGGCCTTGGTTGCCTTTCTGGGAAATGGAAATCGGGAGGGTTTTGAGGCAAGGCCTCTGGCCTGAATCTCTCTCCCCTGGGGAACATCTGGCATCCTTCCAATTGCTCGGCTGCGGTGGTCAGGACGCCATAAAAGCTGGGATTGTGGCAGAAACTCTGATTGTGCCTGGGTCCAAACTCAACTGGAGAGGCTTCCAGTTCTCCTACCAACCAGCCAAGCTCACAGCCTCCCTCCTACCCTACCCCTTCCACCCTACTCCACTCAGCCCTTTGTGAGACCTCTCCAAGACGGCTGACAACCTGGGCTTTATAAGTGGCAAAGTATATTTGAGAGTCTGGGCTTTGTACGCCAATGTCCAGGCTTCCCAAGGTTACTTATCCGTCATTAAATTACAGAGCTAGTCCTTGCCCTCAAAATGCAGTTTTTGCTGCCCTAATCCAGGTAAAAGCTAAAAGACCTATTTTGGAGGGAACGACACAGTTTAGGTATGCACCAGGGGTAAGATAATATGCTGCCATTATTGCTGCCAGGTATATTTCAGTGGCATTCCGAAGAGGCCAAAGGGACTTCAATTCTCGAATCGGTGCTGCGACTTCAGCCCCTCTCCATGAGTCATACCCCTTTGTGGGGCCATCACATAATTCAGGGTTTCTAGTTGCTAAAGCCTTTCTTGTCACAAGAGGTTGGAATTGCAAGGCACCAGGCCTGGGACTGACCTGGCCGGGCCTGCTGGAGAGTCCCAGACCTTGATGACCGGCCCAGGTGGCCCTGACCCTATGGTCACCCATAGCCACCAACAATTTGTCATTGTTTGGGTTCAGAAAACACTGTCATGATGAAAAGCCCCCGTGGAGCTGGAGTGCTTTTGTTAGGGAATGCCTCATTTCTAAGTTGTCCTTTTATGAGTCTATTTATGGACCATCTTTTGTATCGTGTACATTCTGAGTTTCCGAGCAGAATCAAAAAAGTAACTGGACGCTGACTCATCACCAGGAGGTAAAATTCGCCTCAGAGTACTTGAAGTTAACTGAAAACATATTTGATTTGGAAAAACAAAACCACAACATCCCAATCCCTCAGTTTCTGTTTAATGTGTTCCCTTGCCATTACTGTATCTTAGACTGTCTTCTTAATGGAAAGGGCCCGGCAGGCTTTGGAGAAGACAGGGCTGGTTCAACTTCGTGTTGCACAACTTGCTAACGATATGATTGCTCTGAGCCTTGGTTTCTCCATCTGGTGATGAAAAGATTTACCTTGAAAGGTTATAATGAGGATCAGCAGCAACACGCACCAAGCAGTTACGGTGCACAGCAGGCTCTCAGATGTGTTTGATAAAGAGAGGTCCTGTACCGTGAAGCATATAACCATGCCAGCATATGCACATAATAATAACAAAGTTTCCAATCCGAAAGGAAGAAAGACATTTCAACTTTGAACTAGTA